AAAGTGTGCTGCCCGTGCCTTTTTCCACCCATCTACTCCTACTCCCCACATTTTATTCCAAGAGCCCCAGGAAATGCCCAAATCTGTCTGGGAAAGGAGGTTAAAGGCAAAAAAGGGCTTTAGCCAAAGTAGTGTTTGTATCTGGGAGAGCAGACAAGTTCAAGGAAATCAGCTAGACAAGAAGCAGAAAGTTCTGTTACAAAAGTTAGTGCTGGATCTCATCCCACTTTACACCCATCAGTTACTTGTTCCTACTGCTTAACTTTTTCCAAAAATTTTGGAAAAAGATTTTGAAGCACTTTACATGTATGGCTGTCTTTAGGCACAGATCTATTTCCACCATCAGTAGTAACACTGTTAGCCTCTCGATGAGAGATTACCAGCAGTGTTTTAAGCACTTAAACCTGTTCTAACTGCACTGTAGGCACTTTTACATGTGCTCTGGGGATGAGTGTGAGGGGTGGCACTTTAATTAGCGTGGCTCTGAGAGCCCACCCTGTTGGCTTTTATTCTAGACATCCCAAGTCATCCAAAACTTTATTCCACTTTAACATTAACTTCCTAGACATCTGCTGGAACAAACAGACAGCCAGGTCTGCCCATTCACAAAAGTTTCTAACCTCCTTACAGGACCTTCACCTATTGCAGGAGGTCTATATTCCCATTAGGGAAAATGTCTTACTACACTTGGTACTGGCCACAGGGGATGACTTGGTGGGGGATCTGCAGGTGTCAGGTAACCTAGGGGATAGTGACCACCTACTGATAAGGTTTACTATCTGGAGAAAGGTGGGGAAGATAAACTAGGAGGGTCAAAGTGCTAGACTTCAGGAAGGCCAACTTCAACAAGCTCAGGACATTAGTTAGGGAGGGACTGACTGGTAAAAGCCTTGGAGAGATGGGAGTCCAGGAAGGGTGGGCATTTCTCAAGGGACTAATCCTGCAGGCACAGAAAAGGACCATCCCAGTACACATAAAAGGGGGCAAAAAAGCAAAGAAGCCCTCTTGGTGGAGCAGGGAAATCCAGGAGAGCCTGGAGGGGGGAAAAAAAAAAAAGAGGCCTACAGGCTGTGGAAGCAGGAGGCTGCCACCAAGGAGGAATATACCTGCTTGGCTTGAGCTTGCTGGGAAACAGCAAGGAGAGCCATAGCAGAAATGGAGCTTAGGCTGGCAGCAAAAGTTAAGGATAACAAAAAGTCATTCTTTAAGTACATAGGAAGCAAAAAGAAAGTGAAGGGTAACTTAGGACCCCCTTTAGGATGAACCAGGGCAATTGGTAATAGATAGGATGGCCAAAGCGGAGCTTCTAAATGTTTTCTTTGCATCTGTGCTCCTGGACATGAATACAAATACACATCCCATTGGGATGTTAGGTAAGTCCAGTACAGATACCAACCCACCAACAATACGAGCTGACCTAGTAAAGGGGTACCTGGAGGGGTTGAATGTATTTAAGTCAACAGGTCCTCATGATCTTCATCCTAGGGTACTTAGGGAATTAGCTGGAGTCATAGCAGAGACACTGGCACAACTGTTTGAGCACTCATGGTGCTCCGGACAGGTCCCAGAGGACTGGAAAAGGGCCAATGTGGTCCTTATTTTCAAGGAGGAGAAGAAGGAAGAACCAGGTAACTATAGGCTGGTTAGTCTCATCTCTATCCTTGGCAAGACCTTTGAGAAAATTAAGGATCACATTTGTGGCAGACCAGCAGGTAAAATGATGCTAAGGGGCAATCAGCATGGGTTCATAGCAGGCAGATCCTGCCTCACTAACTTGGTTTCATTTTACGGCCGGGTCACAAAATGCTTGGATGAAGGAACAGAGGTAGATGTTATTTACTTAGATTTTAAAAAGGCCTTTGACACAGTGTCACACCCAATTCTTATAAATAAAATAAACAGTTGCAATGTAGATTATTACACAGTCGGGTGTGTAAAAAGTTGGCTTATGGGACGCACCCAGAGAGTGGTGGTAGATGGGTCAGTTTCTACCTGGAGAAATGCAGGCAGCGGTGTCCCCCAAGGCTCTGTCCTGGGACTGGTACTATTCAATATCTTCATTAGTGACTTGGATGAGGGAGTAGAAAGCACCCTGTCCAAGTTTGCTGACGACACCAAACTATGGGGGGAGATACACAAACTACACGGCAGGGAGCGAATCCAGGCTGATTTGAACAGGCTGGGGAACGGGACGAACAGAATAGGATGCAGTTTAACAAGAGTAAATGTCATGTGTTGCACCTGGGAAGGAGGAATTATCAACACTCCTAACGCTTGGGAGGTACCACTCTAAGTAACACAACTGCGGAAAGGGATCTCGAAGTCCTAGTCGACTCCAAAATGAACATGAGTCACCAGTGTGATGAGATAATACGTAAAGCTAACCACACCCTTTCTTGCATAAGTAGGTGCACCACAAACAGGTCTAGGGAGGTGATACTTCCCCTCTATGCAGCTTTGCTTAGGCTGCAGCTGGAGTACTGCGTCCAGTTTGGGGCGCCACCCTTCGGGAGGGATGTGGATGGCCTGGAGTGGGCTCAGAGGAGGGCCAGTTGTTTGGTTAAAGACCTACAGAAAAGAGCCTATGTGGACTGATTGGGAGACATGAACCTCTTCAGCCTCTGCAAAAGGAGGCTGAGAGGTGATCTCGTGGTCTCCTACAAACTCACTGGGGGGGGGAGGGAAGCAAGAAATAGGGGATACAATGTTTACCAGGGCGCCTGTTGGGGTAATTAGAAATAATGGCCACAAACTGGAAGACAGCAAATTGAGACTGGACATCAGGAAAAAAATTCTTTACAGTGAGGGTTTCCAAAATGTGGAATAAGCTTCCAAGGGAGGTGGTGCTGTCCCCCTTCCTTGAAGGTGTTTAAAAGAAGACTGGACAGACACTTGGCTGGTGTCATCTGACCCCAGTACTCATTGCTGCCCAGGGCAGGGGGTCGGACTCGATGATCTTATAGGTCCCTTCCAACCCTAACATTTAACATCTATGAAAACAACGTACTTGCCACTGCTAATTAGTGTTACCAACCACTATTTGGAATGCATAGGTATCCATAACTGGACTTCCTTAGGCCTCAAAGAGGTAGGCAGATGAAGTCTTGCAATACAAAGATAGGCAACAAGAAAGCAGCAGAAAAACTAATATTCAATGTTACCTATTGTCCTTTTACTCAGTATTCACTCTGAGGCTTCTGCTGTTAAATTAATGAGTTTGTTGCAGGCTATTAACCTTGTGACAATGGGATCAGTTAAATGTATGAGTTCGTTATACAAATGCTGATCTGATATATGTACCAATACTGGGTACAAATGTAGTTGTATGGCTTACAGTAAATCAATTTTTACTTTATAAATGAATGTATAAAATACTTAAATGGAAAAAAGTGAACGATTAAGTTCTTGTAGAAGCATGGTATTCAATTTTAGACAGCTTTCAGTGTCAATGGCACTGTCACCTTAGAATTAACGATGGAAACAAGTGATAGTTTCTTATTGGCTCCCTAATTGCACATGCAGTCATCATTTGGATCTGTAATAATAACCTACTGCTGAAGCCTTATATGTATAAAATAAGCTCTTTAAAAGTGATCCTGCAGGGTGCTAATTGTTCTCATAGCTTACTAACTTCAGTGGGTGCCAAGTGTGTTTTGTACTTCTTGCGAGAAGAACCTTACTGGATCCTTAAAAGAAAGATTGACGTTATGGACATAAATAGTGATAACAAGGAACTGAGGAAAACTGATCTCAATTACAATAAATTTACAAAAAAAAACCCTGAGTGAGGTTACTCTGGATTTACTTTATTTTAATCAAAATTAGAATCTAACCCTTGATATTTTATGGACCACTGAATATTCACTGTTTTGGTGCGCTACTGCTTTATCTGGTACTTCAGGAATCTACTCAGTAAGCTAACCCATGAGACAAGATCAAACAATATTAGGATTCTCCCCACCACAGATGGTTTCAACCAAGAGGTCCAGAAATTTATTTTAGTATTTTTTTTTTTTTAAGAATTAGCAACACCAGGATATGTGTTGACAGACCATTAGATTAATACTGTTGTGTACTGTGCATAGCGTAAAATTCAGAAGACAGGAAAAATTACAAGAGTCAAACTTGCACATTTCTAGATGCAGTCGAAACTTATAATTCTTCTTCCCCAGAGAGGACAGGCTCTGCTGTACTTCCATTTTATTAGCTTAACTTTATTTAAGATACACTTATCAGACTGCCCTTTCTGCTTGTGTAGACTCCACAAATACTGCATTTCGAGGACTTTAGAGACATGGTTTAAGAAGTTACTTTTGCTCGGGAACCACTAACCTAGTGTTATTGTGATGAAATCCTGAGTCCACTGAAGTCAGAGACTTTTGTCACCAACTTCAATGGGACCACAATTTCAACCCCAAAGTCAGTGAAACGCCTCACAAGCACTGGGGTCTGCATTCACAGATCCTAATTCAGGTTCATAGCTTTAGAATCCAGGCAAAAAATGGCATTTTGTATTATTGTGCCACCTAAAAAATATCACTGAATTCTATTAATAGTAAAGCAAACAATATTTAAGATCAAATTCACAGAAAAGAAACATACACGTCTTGTAAAATCAGCCACAGCATTTGCACAGCAGTTGATTTTGCAAGGTAACGGTAACCAATATTGGGCTGTCATCTGTCTGAAAAAAGGGGTTCAGATCTTGGGAGAGAGACACGTATGCTATTTTTATTCATTCAAATATCACATCAGAAACTGTCTAGCAAAAATGAGATTTTTCTCTTGCAGCTTAAAAAATTTCAACATTTGTGTTCAGTGACTCCAACACAGAATAATCCAAATTATAAATGTGTGAACATATGTGTAACTGCATGGATTAGTAAACCTCCTATGCTTCTATAAAGGACCTTAGCAATTTTATATTTAAAAAAAAATCCCATAAATTAGACAGAAAACTGATCAGATCACACTCAGTTTTACTTTCAGCTGTTACTTACATTCCAAAGCGCAATGTTCCAGAGACGTATGTCTGCCAGTGTGCACAATAGAACATGAATGTCCCAGCAAAACAACAAAAGAACATCCAGTCAGGGTTTGTCCCCAGCTGCACAGCAATACAAGTTCCCAAAACCACAAAGACTGTAGAAGAAAATCAATCACACAGTAAAAATAAACATGCGTATACACAGAAATCCTTACCAAAACCAAACAGGAGACAGAATCTAACAAAAGATCCACCAAAGATACACAATCTGAATACTTTAAATTACTACAATATATTTTATACTGTTAATAAAAAGATGCTTTGCAAATATGACAGGTCACATACTAAATAAAAGTACAGCTCAGGAAATGAAAACGTACAATTCATTACTGCTGATGAATTTATTTCTACACCTCTATAATACAGAGATGAAATTCTCTTATCTGATGCTTAGAGGAGGTATTTTTAGATTATCATATGTTTCAATACCTATTCAAACTGTGTATTTAAAAGCATCTCAGCAGTTATAGGGCTTGATCTTGTTAAAAATGGACAGTTTTTGGCACTCGCAGCAATTACGGGAGTTCAGGGAACACTCAGACTGTCATAAGATATTGTTACCAACTTTTGCTTTGATCCTTAATATGATTTCCTGCTAAAGCTTGCTGAACAGATTTCCTGTTTTCTTTTACTGCATCTTCTACTTAGAAAAAATATTAAGATGTATGTGTGTGCGTGTGTGAGAAAAAGCAACTATGCATTCTATACATTTAAAGCTAGTCACAATAGCACATTTTAGTAAACAATGTAATGCTAGAAGAACTAGCTGAGACCTAAGACCTCAAAATGAATCTCCATTTATTAAAGATCACAGGGCTAAACTGGATCTTGTTGTAAATTGGTTCCACACAACAGACTTCAAGAGAATTAACCCACTAGTACCAGGCCTGACTCTGGACTCCAGTGCTTAGGCTCAAAAAATGATACTAAATGGTTCTAACTAAATGGATTCAAAATAATTTATACATAGATTTAAAAGTACACTTCTAACTTAGATGAAGTTTCAGCACTAAGGCCTTATTTTAGAAGGCATACATGCAGACTCAATGAAGTCCATACAGAACTACTCGCATGCTCTAAGTACCTTGACTGAATCACAGCCCCAGTTCTCTCTGTGTAACACCAAAATAGTTAATTTTAGTTGTTTATAAAAAGTAAACTACAAACAAAATAAGATTAATTCTGAAAAATACCAATAGCACCAAAACGTTCATTCCTTTAACAGAAACCTTCTGTAAAGGTTTATTGTTCCAGTTCAGTAGTGTGAAAGCCCAAAAATTTGTTTAACCACTATATTTCAGTTAAAAATGACAATACCTGTGGACAGTGAATCACAGCCGTGGTCAAAAAGTTCTCCCAGAGGAGTACTGCTATTTGTTCTTCTTGCTTGTTTGCCATCTATAGCATCCAAAGATTGGTAAATGAAAAGGCCACATGCACAAGCAATATATGTCCACGGAGGTGCCTAAGAAGGATACAATGTGAATGGTGGTAAAAGTTTTTTTTTTAGCAACAAATTAAGAGTCTTACCTGTCCCTTATTCCTACATTAAGGACACGTTTCACTTGCAGGTACTTCAGCCCTTTCTGAAAAAGTTCATGAACATTCACACTTTTAGTGATACCTTGTCCCTCTGGGGGTGCCTGGGGGTGAGGAGCAACAAACAAACAAAAAAATCCACACATGCCTAAAAAAGTTTCGGTTAGCAAGATACAAGGAACACACAGTATCCCATTAAAAAATTTTAAAAAGCTACTTTAAGAAATCAGGCCATACACATCAGTCTAAGAGAGGGTGAAAAACTACTCAATAATACATTACATTATTTGAAAGACAGTATTGGAAAAACTGCATAGTAACACATGCAAAATGGGGTGCGATTAAAACTCTGCCATGCTACTTTTACTTGTCCTGGATGAGATCTTCAGAAACAAAGTAATTTAAGAGCCTGAACCCAAATGAAAGCCAGTAAGGTTCCTAAGTCACATGGACATATTATATAAACTTTACCCAGCAAAATAGCTGACTATCTCACAACAACCATACGAAGTAGAAGGTACTACAAATATTTTGCAGGTAAGTAATCTGTGTGTCAATTAATATGGGAACTTCTAAAAGTCCTGCTTTGGCTCCCTAGAGATAATTTGGGCACCTGCTTCTGGACACTTAAAACAATACTAGGAAAATTCAAAGCAAGCTACAGATGGTATTTATGTGAAGATTTTGCCTCAACACAGGGTGTTTAATCTTTCTGGACACAAAGGTTAAGCTAGTCTCCTAGACATGAAGATTTTTAGAATGGCACTGTGTTCTCTAGCCACTACAAAAATCACCAATTTCTAAATGCCACCATTTTCCCCAAAATGCAGTTATTAAGACACTACGAATATTACTCTTAACAGTCACCTCCTGAATCTGAGATGCATCAAACAATATTAAATTCCACGTTACACATGACAAAACAAGCAATCAATCAGGGATCAAAGAACCAAATCCAAATGCTTTGGTTTGCTGCCATTTTTGGCTCAATTTTCACATCTGGAAATTGGGAAAAAAACTACCCAGCAATTTTTAATTGGTAGATCTTAAAATGCTTTAACAAGGCAGGTATGCACAAGGAGTTCCATTTCAGAATAGTTCAATGAAGGACAGCAGGACTAAGGCCCCAACACACATTAAAATAATTGTGCAATTGGGAAATGAGGAATTATTCTTGATTCTCTCCCTGCAAAAAATCACATCACATTTCCTGCCATGCCACATGTGCGTGGCAGGATACACAATTTTTGGGAACAGATAAAATTCCTCAGATTCCAATCATGCACCAACACTGGTGGTGCAGCCTACCATCAAGGAACCAGTTCTTCAATGTCAGGCTGCATTCATGAGCTTAATGCGCTGGGAGCAGCTCTGGGATTGGGCAGGGGAAAGCCCCAGTTCCTAGCTCCCATTGGAAGTATGCAGATGTAGAAGCTCCCTGATGCCCAGATACATGCATGCTTACCCCAAAACTTCTGTACTGTGGTGTGCACAGCTGAGCATTGGAGAGCCCAGGTGCTTAACTGCCCTTGCTGCAGACCCAGCATCAGGCTGCAGAGCATGGTTTTAAATATCTCCGCATATTTCAAGGGGGGCACTTAAGTTGCAGCCCAGGCTCCTGCTCCCTCATTACTCTGGCTGCAACAACAGCGGGAGTCTCTGGGCTTCCTTTCCCTCCTCCAGCTGCCAATTCCTGCCTCCATCCCTGGGGTGGAGCAGTGCAACAAGTAGCATGGGGAGCTGAAGGTGAGTACAGGGCCATGCACGGAGGGTGACCTGTGCTTGCACAGCACAGGAAGGGGGGTGCCAGCCTGGACATGTGGTGCAACAGTAGGGAGTGTTTGTGTCGTCTGGTGGCTTGTGGCTCAATGGGTATGACCCCCAGGGCACGTGGCCCCTTGGGGCTTATAATTTCTACAATAAAATGTGGAACATCTTTGTGGCTTGTTTGCCATTTTATCATGTCATAAATTCACCATACATCTGGTATGTTGTAATTTATGGTGCGATTAACACACAAACTGCACCATAAACATAATGTTTACCAGGGGCCTAAGTGGTTTATTCAAGCTGAAATTTGCATCTCAAAAAAAAACAAAAACAAAGAAAAGGACTCCTAATGCTCCATGACTATGACTAGTTCCATATGCTTATTATGTTACCGAATTAACCCTGATTGTACATACAGGAAAGACTTTCCCTTGAGCACTGGTACATACCAAATAAAACCCCAATCCTGCACTGAACTCCATACAGGAAGGATCATGACCTATATATGATATCCCAACCTACAGCCATTTCAGCTGAAGTACAAATTATCCTAATACAGTAAAAGCTTTGTTATCCAGCACAAGTGGGGTAAGCGGGGTGCTGGTTACCTAAAAATTCCGGTTATCTGAGAATTATTCCGGCCCCTGCCCTGTGCAGATCCCTTTCCCCTTCCCCTGCAGACTCCCAGCAGCTCCTCTATCAGCAGCATCACTAAGTAAACAACAGAAATACTTGATGCGCATGCCAGATAGACTCAGCAAAGGTTCTAGTTGCTAAAGTGAGGATGTGTATATATATATTTTTTTTTACACAGCTCCTTCACCTACCACTCCTAAAGCTTGAGATTGTTTGCAGTGTAAAAATACAAGTGTTACCCATTTTGTATAACATATAAGATATGGACTGGGTATTTTTCTTTTGTTGGAAGTCATTGTGGTTAACTAAATAAAACTCTGAAAATTCAAAGATGCTGTTTCTACTACTACTGCATACTAATTACAAGCATCTTATTACGCTTGTATATGATTTCTCAATGTCATGCAATGTACTTTTACAATGTTAGAGAGAAGAGTAACACTCTGCATTTTTTTCCTTAAATATCTGTACCATTTTCATTGTTAATTTAGAGAGTCATTTAGGTTTCTAAGACCCCACTGACTAAAGATAAAACACTTTTGGGGGTTAGCAGCCAAAGTCACATGTATGCTTTTGAAAAACTTTACTCAGGACTCGCGTACAGATTTATCCCATTTTATTTATTCATTTTATTTTTATTTGTGGTGTATCCTCACATTGTCTTAAGCCTTAAGATAAGGAAGGATGATTTTGTATTTAATTCACTGGACCAAAATGTACAGAAACTGGGATTAGTGTGCAGCTCCTACAGATTCTTTGTATGATGCTGGCTCAATCTCTCTAGTGCTGATCCTACTATGAGGTCTTCGTAGAAACAGATCTCCAAAGAAGTCAAAGGAGCTCTGCAGACTCATGAGGGGCTGCCCCTGCAAAGTTTATTATGAAATCAGGGTTTCAATCTCTCCATGCCACAGTCATACTTATGGGACAAGGATAGTATTTCCTTACTACAAAGAGGTAGAGAGATGATAAATTAATAACACCAACAGGCTCTCAGATACTATGCCAGCTTTTAAAGTTTATTGCAAACTAACAGTAAAATATGTTTAGACAAGCAGTGTTAGACATAGGGGGCCCTGGATTCCCCACAGGAAACAGCGGTTTTCCCCTTGCAGGCAGGCAACATTCCAGCCTGAGAGGGGCTGCTGGGAACCAGACGCAGGGGGCACCGCCTGCACGCTCGTGGCCAGGAAAACAGCTGGGCAGCATAAGGAGCAGCTCCCTGCAGGTAACTGTATGAGATTGGGGGGTGGGGAGGGCAGATCGAGGTCCCCATGGTGAGGGAGGGAGTGGGGCAAGGGCTAGGGGTGCTGCCCAGCCAGGACAATGCATAGGATCTGGGGCTGGGAGCAAGACAGAGCCATGGGTGGCTCGTCCAGGGGGCGCTGGGGGGGGACAGGTCCCTGCCACTACTCACACCCACAAGGGGAAGCATGGGGGGGGTATGTGCCCCCCCCAGATTTGCATGTGGAGTAGATGCAGGCTGCCCATTGTGGGCTTGGGGCTCTTAACCCTGCTGCCTTTGCCCTGGAGACCCCACACCGACCACACATATCCTGCCTGCCTGGCAGCACTGGGGACAACAAGCTGTGCCTCCTGCTGCCAGGCAGGCAGGGGACATGCTGCTGGCATGGGGTCCCTGGGGCAAAGGCAGCAGAGCAGAGTCCTGAGCCTGCAGTGGGCAGTTTGCATCTGCCCTTGCTCTGCTCCAGCCATTTGGAGGTGGGGGAGTGTGGCAAGGAGAGGCAGGCATATGCACCCCACCCCCATCCTGGCCAGGCTCACCCAGCCTCCTCCATGGGCAGGGGCAATACCAACTTCTTCCTGGTGGTGGGGGCTGAGCAGGAAGGCTGGGGGGGGGGCTATAGTAACTCCAAAATGTGCCTTAGCCCCCCATAGCCACACCTCCCAGCACTGCCACCTGCCTGCCCCATGCAGCTAAGCCTGTCCTGTTCTCATCTGCTCTAAGCCCAGCCCTCCTCACCAGGAAGAGGCTGGCACCACCCCTGCCAGAAGCACCACACCTATGTGGGCTCAGCTGCATGGAGTGGGCAGGCAGTGCTGGGAGGGGTGGCTATGGGGGGGGGTTAAGGTGAATTTTGGGGTGGCTATAGCTCCCCTAACCCCTTTCCCAGCATTTCCTCTACCCTTGGGGCACAGAGGCCTGCCCTGCCCTTAGCAGCAGCAGCACCAACAAGGGAAAGGGCCCGCCCACTGCTGGAGCCCAGGGCTCTAATACAGCTTAATCTGCCACTGGTGTTAGTCTTCATTTAATATAAAAACAGATGTAGGGTTTATTCCAGGTCTGATTATCCTGGGCTTTGACTTGCATCAAAACAGGCATGGACAATCTTTTATACAATTGGTGGGGAGGAGAAAGGGGGGAGGGGGAGGGAATTATCTCAGATACTTAAAGTGGGACAATGGGATTGTACCTCTGCACAATCTCAGGATAAAAAGCTTCCTCTGCTTTTAGCCTTAGGAAGAAAGGAAAACAGGGTGGCACCTTGTAGACTCCTT